AAATTTATACCTATTTTTATACCTTTTCGGGTATTTTCATTTTAGTCAAAAGCTTAAAACGCAGTGAAGGAGGCATTTCCGACCCTATATTTCATATATATTCTTGATCAGTATCAACAGGAGAATCTTTCTAGCTATGTCCGGCAAAAATTTAAATTTTTCAAAATTTTGAAAATTGTATAAGGGGGTTGTCGTTAAAATAATCAAAAATTTCAATAAAAATTTAATTTTGTGTACAGTTTAAATTAAGTATGCAGATTTATTAACCTATTAAAAACTAACATAGGAAAGTTTTCCGAATTGAAATTGATGGTGTTTTGGCTTAGTTATGAGATTTTGAAACTTTGATTTCTCGAAGAAATTGTCAATATGGATTTGATTCTATTTAATTGCAAATTGCAAGAGCTTCTCGAAGTTAATTTCCTTTACTGTTTTCTACCAACAAACAAGTCTTTTAATCTAGTCAAGTCAAAATTTAAATGTTATTTTAATAGTAAAAAAAAAGTAATGTAAATCTTTTAAAGTATTCAACTTATAGTAATAATTCCTCTTCAAATGTTTATTCATCGATTACTTGTACTATTTGTTTATCGATTTAGTACGCCTGCCAACCATAGGCTTTGCCTTCAATTAAACTCATATAATCAATTTAAGATAATCCATCAGATAATCACAGTTTAGCGATTTATATACCGAAAACCAACATCTTTCTCTATCCCCCTCCCCCCCTGTCATCGAAAAAATCAATAAAAATTAAATTGCCCCGCACACACACAATTATCGACAGGGTAAAGGCAATCGATAACGATAGTCGTCGCTCATCCCCATCAGTTTAAATTATATAAATTTGCACACATTATGCGAAATTGACGAAGAAAAGGCCTAATCACAATGTTGGAAAGTCGATAGACTGGATCAGAGGATGGATTATCCATCGAGATCCATCTCGATCCATCGATCATCTATCATCAGGTGGGTGCATTCCTAGAGACCAAAGGAGACCACTCTCCGCGCTCTGCAAATTGTATTAAGACATAAATGCGAGTGAAAATCGAAGATGCAGTAGAAAAAGAAGAAGAAGCTGCACAAGAATCTGCTGGCTATATAGTTTTTTTTTTTTTTAAGAAGAGGTTGAGCAACAATAAAAAAAAGCCGCAAGCGCCACACCGCACACACAGGCAACCAAAAAAAAAAAAACAAAAAACAGAAAAAAGGAAGGAACAAAAAAACTCAGTAAGGCGGCGATATGCAAACATAATAATTTGCATATTTCGCCGCAGTGTTCGTTGTTGTTGTTGTTGTTGTTCTTCTTCTCTGACGGTGGTCAAGCAACAAAAAAAAAAGGAGTAGAAAAAATAAAAAACAGAAAAAACATCTATAAAAGGGAGTGGTAACCCCCATAATAGAAATGTTAACCTCTCAGCGGCAGAGGAGGCAGCAGTCACACCCAAGTTTGGTAACCATACAGAAAAAAAAATAATACAAAAAAAATAAAGAGCCATGGCTAGCAGCTGGAAAAAAGGTTAAAATGTGCAATAGGGAAAAGGAAACTAAAAAAAATATATAGAAGGTTAAAAATAAGCATGGTTTTGTAATCCTTTAAGAAGGTTTTAATACTTTGACATCATAATAATTAACATTAACATAAATATCCGATATACTTAACATCATCATATATATAAATCTATAAGAAATTAATGATTTAAAAATTTGTAAGTTAGAGATTTAAAAGAATAATATCGTATGCAATTAACATCATTATATATATAAATCCATAAAAATTTAATCATTTAAAAATGTGTAGTTTAATCAAAGACTTAAAAGAATAATTTATAGGCTTATGTTAAAGAAAAAAACAGGCTTGGAAAGTTAAAGATCTAAAGATAAAGATAAGAATTCTAAAGATAACATGGCTTCTTCTTAGCAGAAAATGGCGCCCACTCGTTTTTTTTTACGGATCCTACTCTCTCCAGCTATATATATCTATCTCTTTCTCTTGATTTATACGCATGCGTAATTGGAAAAAGGATTTTTCTCTTTTTAACTTGTCGTTCATTTAGTTTAATTTCTTTTACCGGATAACTGCTGCTGTTTAAATTTGGGTTGGGAATGTGGACGCCCACTTAAGACATGCGATGCTAGATCGGGTTAACCCAACGCCCACCTTTAGATACACAGAAAGAAAATTCTATATAAAATATATTAAATGATCAGTGATCTTAGAAACACATTGAGAAATATATAAATATCTTACAATGCAAAATATTTATAGTTATCTAAGTAATACCCATCTTTTATTAGCTTTTTCTTATGATGAACATTTGCTGTCCCTCTCTTTTTACACATACACAAGTATAGTCATCTCTTTCTCTTGATGTTAAATGTCTGAGAAATTTATGTTGTTGACTATTTTGCCGCAAATTACATGCTACAAATTTTTGTAATCTTGTTTTTTTTTCTATCTTTTTTCTTCTCCTTTTAAATATTGGTAAAAAAAAATGTTTACTAACTGGGCCGTGGCGTTAGAAATCAAAGCCTTTGGCGTTCATTAGCTTTGGGGGCGTTATTCTACCTCCCTGCCCCCTCTTTGGGTCTCCTCCAGCGACGTTCAATTAAAAGTGTTGCCAATTTGCGACGCCTTTACCTGGCTACCCCCCACCTTAGGCCCCCTTTTCCTACCTCCCCCTTTTTTTCAGCCAAGCCCCTCTCCTTTCTTTTTCTTTTTTTTACTTGTAATCAGGAAATTCGATTTTCTTAATGCCACTGAAAGCACTTGATGGTGGTGGCAGGGAAAAAGAGTGAGAGAGTGTTGGATGGAGGAAGACTGGACCCTGGACAGCCACCCATTTTGGCCCCTCCCCCCTCAGGGTACCGCCCGCTCCTCTTGCTCCTCTTGAACCTCCTGCGGCCCCACATTCATGACTTCTAATATGCGCGTGAATTTATTAACGCTCATTTTACGCTGTTGTTGCGATTCGGGGGCGTGTGCAGGCCGATTGCATTTTTTTAAATAAATTCTAGCGCAAACGGCGCGTGACAGGAGACGCCGATATGGAGGGAGGTGGAGAGGAATAGAAAGGGAGGAGGTGGTGGGGGAGTATGTTAGAGGTGACATTTTTCACAAAAAATTTGGAAAGATTCAAGGGTTTTTTATGAATTTTGAGGAAGAATTTTTGTAGAGGTCTATATTGGAAAGTATAGCTTGCATAGATTTTCAAAATAAATAAGAAAAATTAAAAAAATTATGTTTGAAAAGATTAAAATAAGTACAAAACAATATTTTATTTAGCCAAGACTTCAACCCAAGACTCTGGTTTGTAAGAGCGAGATAGATACTGTTTTCCAACCTTAAAACCTAAAAACTCTCAAGTTTAACAAGCCATCTTTTCGAAATAAGTTAGGAAAACTTACTCAAAAGACTATTTATAGTATAAATATTTAATTCCAATACAAAATCAATGTTATAGGTTTTAAAAACCTTTTTCTATGATTAAATCCATAGCTAAATTAACTCGCCTGGTGAGTTTGATATTATTGTTTTTTCAAAGTCTTAATTTTCTACTCAAAACTTGAAATAATTTAATTACAAAACAAAAGCTAGGGTACAGCTTTAGAAAAGTCTCTTTTGTAATGAAACCCTAGTCTAAATTAACTCGCCTGGTGATGTTAATTTCAATTGCTTTTTAAAAGTATTAATTTTCTAATGAAAACTTTAAATAATATAATTTCGAAACAAAATCTAGGATACAGCTTTAGAAGACTCTCTTTTGTAATGAAACCCCAGTCTAAATTAACTTGCCTGGTGAGGTTAATTTCAATTGCTTTTTAAAGTATTGGTATTCTACTTAAAATTTTAGATAATTTAATTCCATTACCATATCCAGGCTAAAGGTTTAAAAATCTCCTTTTTGTGATCAAACCAAGTCTAAATGAACTCTCCTAGTTAAACAATATAAAAAATCCATTGATTTTCCTCCTAAAAATATCGCATCCTGTCGTGATTTTTCCAAAGAAATAGAAAACCTGACCATCTCCCTTGCCGAGGTTATCGCAGTCTTAGGCCAAAACCTCATTAGGCTATAGCGAAATCTATATGCGAAATGGAGGCCGACGCCTTTTCAATTTGCCAGCAATGAAAATTTACAACATGACCAGATCGGTGTGTCCAATATATATATATATCTATATAGATATGTATATGTGTTTGTGCAGATATATATGTATATGTGAAGCGTTCATTGCATACCCCAAGGCGTGCATGCGCACATAAAAATCGACAGCGGATCGGAACTGGTTGCAAGTTGCTGCCGTTGCCGTTGCAAGTTGCAAGTTGCTGCTGCTGCTGCTGCTGTGGCATTGTCATTCGTGGCATGTTCACGCCTTGACGCCCGCAGCTGAATGAGGCAAAGAAAGAAAAAAAAAGAAACTGGACTCCAAATTGAACTCCAACTGAATCGCCCATCGCAACGCTCCTTCTATATTTTTTCTTTGCTGGCTTTTCCGGATCGCGCTCGTTTGTGGCATCTTCAAAAGCGGCGTTTCGTGGCCACGTTTGAGAGTCAGATCGTAAATCTAATAAATGCTTCTAGCTTGCCGAGGGGAGAAAATGTCCAACACTGCCGCCGCCGACGACGAATGGAAAATGCGCCTTTTCCTGGCTTAGATGGTGGCCACCAGATAAGATGGAAAATTAAAAGAAAATCAAGCTTAAGAAGAGGAATTTGGGAATATATCTAGAATGGAATTTTGATATTTTACAAAGAAAAGAATGAGAGATATTTGAGGAATTTATGAATATGTGGATGTGAATGACTATATTTAAGCTAAGATTAAGAAGATTTTAAAGGAAGTAATTTAAGAAATCTTTACCTTTTGTAAAGGGAAAACTTTGAATATCTGAAGCTGTATCTTTTCAAAAAGTTTCGTATGTTAATGTTATAGTTGTAAATATTTTATATGCGAAATTTTACTAATTAACTTCTTTAATTTCCCTTTGACAGGTGGTCCTCTCGGCTTGTTCCTCGTACTTCCAGAGCCTGTTCCTGGAGCACCCTGAAAGACATCCAATTGTGATATTGAAGGACGTCCGTTTTGCCGAGCTGCAAACCTTAGTTGAATTCATGTACAAGGGCGAGGTGAACGTGCAATACTGTCAGTTGTCCGCGCTGCTCAAAACAGCCGAATCCCTCAAGGTATTTACTCCCCTTTCTCTCTCTTTAAGAAGATGAACCCTTCTCTAACCCTTCAACTCTTTTCCCAACTTGCCTCACACAGGTCAAGGGCCTCGCCGAGATGACGAATCAGAATACGACGCTGCGTGAGCCGGAACGAGAGCCGGATCGTCTGCGTCCCCAGGGTGGTGGCTCCTCCCACAAGGCGGCCGATAGTCCAGCGGCGGCTCTAGATGCCACGACGGCAACAGCGGCAACAACAGGGACTGCACCGGCAGCGGCAGCGGCAGCAACATCGACCTCAACCTCAGCAACATCTGCGGCAGCAACAGCGGCGGCAACATCTGCAGCGGGAACAACAACAGCAGCAGCAGCAGCAGCAGCAACATCTGCAGCAGCAACAACAGCGGGGAGCAGCAGCAGCAGTAGTACAAGCACAACGACGGCAACCACGACAGCAGCCTGTGCCACAACAACAACAACAGCTGCAACGGCAACTTCCGGTGCTAGTTGCAGCAGCGCCACCCACGAGGAGGCCACATCTTCCTCCTCCTCCGCCGCCGTCAGTGCACAGAAGCGGGAGGCCAGCGATAGATGCAGTCCCATGCCCGCCAAGCGTACATCCCGACTGCAGGACAAGACGGACCACCTTCTGGCAGATCTAGAGGCTGAGCAGAATGCGGCCAATGAGCGGGTTGATCATGGTGACGATGAGGATGATGAGGAGGATGAAGAGCTGCTGCTGGCACGCAACTTAAACGATGACGATGATGAGGATGAGGTGGAGGAAATCGATGACCTGGATGAGAATGAGGATATTGAGGAGGCAATGCGAAGGGCACAGCAACTGCAGGCAGCGGCGGCAGCAGCAGTGGCAGCGGCGGCAACGGCAACGGCAACCGCTGATGAGGAGGATGAGGATGAGGATGAAGATGAGGATACGCCAATGCCGTTAGATCTCTATCAAAGACCTGTGGAGCCAAAAAACGCTGCAGCAGCAGGAACGGCAGCGGCGGCGGCAGCCTCCTCGGCGGCATCCACTCAGGGCAATGCCTCCTCTCACACCAATGCCAATGCCAACATTAACATCAACAATAACTCCAGCAGCAGCAACAATAATAATAATAATAACAACAACAACAATAACAACAACAACAATGCAAGCAGCGGGAAGACCACAACCTCAGCAAGCAATGGCTCTGGATCCGGTTCCGGTTCCGGTTTGGATGGAGCCGTCGTAGCCTTGGATGATGATGATGACGATGATGAGGTGGAGCGTGTTGGTGACAGGGAGCGAGATAGAGATAGAGAAAGAGAGCGAGAACGAGAACGACAACGTGATCGAGACCATCGCCTGGATCAGGATATGGACGAGGATCTGGATGAGGATGTGGTTGTGGTCGGAGCCAGTGCCAGTGCCATGGCACGGGGCATTGCCCAACGATTGGCCCATCAAACAATACGGCTCCATCATCCCCATCATGCGCATCATCACCTGCACGCCACGCATCACCACCATCACCACCATTCGTCGCATCCGCATTCGCATTCGCATCCGCATTCCCATCTATCGCCCTCGGACGATGAGGATGCCCTGCCCGTGATTGCCAAGACGGAGATCATCGATGATGACTATGATGATGAAATGGATCTCGAGGATGACGATGAGGCGGATAACAGCAGCAACAATGATCTGGGTCTCAATATGAAAATGGGTGGCGGTGGCGGTGGTGTGGATCTATCCACCGGTTCCACCTTGATACCTTCGCCGTTGATTACCCTGCCCTCATCATCGGCAGCCGCAGCAGCAGCGGCGGCGGCAGCCATGGAATCACAACGCTCTACGCCGGCCATAACGGGTTCGGGAACGGGAGCGGGTGCCGGTGCCTCGGACCTCAGCATTGGTGGCTCCGGTGGTCGTCCGGCGTCACGGAGTTCACGCGACGGCGGTAATGATGGTAGAGGAGGAGCATCATCCTCCAGCCTGCTGAGTCCCGGAACTGTGGCCAATCTATTGCCCGTGCAGTCGGTGCCATTGGTTAGTGCAATATTGAATTTATTATTATTTTTACTATATATTATAATACCCCTTGCAGGGTGTTATAAATTTAATCAAAAGCCTAAAACTTAGCGAAGGAGTCATTTCCGACGCTATAAATCATATATATTCTTGATCAGCATTAACAGCCGTATCGATCTAGACGTCTGAGGCAGGAAATAAATAGTTTTAAATTTTTCAAACAATTTTAAAAGGTTTTATCATCAAAATTATATACAAAAATTGACATAAATTTTAATTTTTTTTATTTTAAACTGAGTATGCAAACTTATTAACGATTTAAAAACTAGCACAAAACAGCTTTCCGATTTAAAATTAATGTATTTTTGGTTTAGCTATGAGATTTTTAACTTTCGATAGTCATATAAAAATAATTGCTAAATTTATACTTATTTTTATACTTTTTAGGGTATTTTAATTTTAGTCAGGAGCTTGCTACACAGTGAAGGAGGCATTTCCGACCCTATATTTTATATATATTTTTGATCAGCATCAACAGCAGAATCTAATCTAACTGTCTAAGGAAAAATTTTTTTTTTAATATTTTCAAACATTTTTCAACGTTAAAATTGTAAAATTTTAATTTTTTTTATATTTTAAATTGAGAATGCAGTTTTTTTAACCTTATAAAAACTAACATAGGACTGCTTTCAGAATTAAAATAAACTCTTTTTGGCTTTGTTATGAGATTTTTAAAGTTTGATTTTTCAAAGAAATTGTCATATAAAAGTACCTATATCTATTCATAAAATGCGAATATTTAATGATAAATTTTGCAAAAATAAAATCTGCAAGGGTATGTAAACTTCGGCCTTCTGTAGGAAACTCTATTATATAAAATAACAAGGAAGAAAGCTTACTTTCTTGTTATTTTATATAATAGAGTTTCCTTTATACTTAACAAGAAAGAAACCTAACTTCGGCACGCCGTAGTTTGTATACCCTTGCAGATTGAAATTCGATAAGTAGGACTTATAGCATTATAAATAATATATATATCTATATATATATATAGTCCACAGAATCGTCATGCTCCGACTTATATATTATTAAAATTATATAGAAGAATAACTCCATACTTTGATTCTAATAGTTTGCTCTTAAATTTGTACCAAAATAAATCTCGCACATGCATATGCATATGATTCCCAACTGGTTCAAGCATCCCCGGAACGAAGTGACTGCTGCCGGCCAAGTCTCAGATATGTGTTGTGTTACAAAAGTTGCAAGTCATTGTTTATTAGTGTTCAAAGTTAGTAACTGATCATAGATACAGACTGCTCATAGACACTTACTGGTCATTGTTACTTACTGGTCATAGATACTTACTGTTCAGAGTTACTTAATGTTCATTCATATTTACTGATCATAGGTACTTGCTGGTCATATTTAATTACTGGTCATAGATACTTACTGTTCAGAGTTACTTACTCTTCATAGTTAATCATCATATCTTACGATTCCCAACTGGTTCAAACATCCCCGGAACGAAGTGACCGCTGCCGGCCACGTCTCAGAAATGTGTTGTGTTGCAAAGTTGCAAGTCATTGTTTATTAGTGTTCAAAGTTAGTAACTGATCATAGATACAGACTGCTCATAGACACTTACTGGTCATTGTTACTTACTGGTCATAGATACTTACTGTTCAGAGTTACTTAATGTTCATTGATACTTACTGCTCATAGATTCTTACTGGTCATAGTTAATTACTGGTCATAGATACTTACTGTTCAGTTACTTACTCTTCATAGTTAATCATCATATCTTATGATTCCCAACTGGTTCAAACATCCCCGGAACGAAGTGACCGCTGCCGGCCACGTCTCAGAAATGTGTTGTGTTGCAAAGTTGCAAGTCATTGTTTATTAGTGTTCAAAGTTAGTAACTGATCATAGATACAGACTGCTCATAGACACTTACTGGTCATTGTTACTTACTGGTCATAGATACTTACTGTTCAGAGTTACTTAATGTTCATTGATACTTACTGCTCATAGATTCTTACTGGTCATAGTTAATTAGTGGTCATAGATACTTACTGTTCAGTTACTTACTCTTCATAGTTAATCATCATATCTTATGATTCCCAACTGGTTCAAACATCCCCGGAACGAAGTGACCGCTGCCGGCCACGTCTCAGAAATGTGTTGTGTTGCAAAGTTGCAAGTCATTGTTTATTAGTGTTCAAAGTTAGAAACTGATCATAGATACAGACTGCTCATAGACACTTACTGGTCATTGTTACTTACTGGTCATAGATACATACTGTTCAGAGTTACTTAATGTTTATTGATACTTACTGATCATACCTACTTACTGGTCATTGTTACTTACTGGTCATAGATACTTACTGTTCAGAGTTACTTAGTGTTCATTCATACTTACTGATCATAGGTACTTGCTGGTCATATTTAATTACTGGTCATAGATACTTACTGTTCAGAGTTACTTACTCTTCATAGTTAATCATCATATCTTATGATTCCCAACTGGTTCAAACATCCCCGGAACGAAGTGACCGCTGCCGGCCACGTCTCAGAAATGTGTTGTGTTGCAAAGTTGCAAGTCATTGTTTATTAGTGTTCAAAGTTAGTAACTGATCATAGATACAGACTGCTCATAGACACTTACTGGTCATTGTTACTTACTGGTCATAGATACTTACTGTTCAGAGTTACTTAATGTTCATTGATACTTACTGCTCATAGATTCTTACTGGTCATAGTTAATTAGTGGTCATAGATACTTACTGTTCAGTTACTTACTCTTCATAGTTAATCATCATATCTTATGATTCCCAACTGGTTCAAACATCCCCGGAACGAAGTGACCGCTGCCGGCCACGTCTCAGAAATGTGTTGTGTTGCAAAGTTGCAAGTCATTGTTTATTAGTGTTCAAAGTTAGAAACTGATCATAGATACAGACTGCTCATAGACACTTACTGGTCATTGTTACTTACTGGTCATAGATACATACTGTTCAGAGTTACTTAATGTTTATTGATACTTACTGATCATACCTACTTACTGGTCATTGTTACTTACTGGTCATAGATACTTACTGTTCAGAGTTACTTAGTGTTCATTCATACTTACTGATCATAGGTACTTGCTGGTCATATTTAATTACTGGTCATAGATACTTACTGTTCAGAGTTACTTACTCTTCATAGTTAATCATCATATCTTATGATTCCCAACTGGTTCAAACATCCCCGGAACGAAGTGACCGCTGCCGGCCACGTCTCAGAAATGTGTTGTGTTGCAAAGTTGCAAGTCATTGTTTATTAGTGTTCAAAGTTAGTAACTGATCATACATACAGACTGCTCATAGACACTTACTGGTCATTGTTACTTACTGGTCATAGATACTTACTGTTCAGAGTTACTTAATGTTTATTGATACTTACTGCTCATAGATTCTTACTGGTCATAGTTAATTAGTGGTCATAGATACTTACTGTTCAGTTACTTACTCTTCATAGTTAATCATCATATCTTATGATTCCCAACTGGTTCAAACATCCCCGGAACGAAGTGACCGCTGCCGGCCACGTCTCAGAAATGTGTTGTGTTGCAAAGTTGCAAGTCATTGTTTATTAGTGTTCAAAGTTAGTAACTGATCATAGATACAGACTGCTCATAGACACTTACTGGTCATTGTTACTTACTGGTCATAGATACTTCCTGTTCAGAGTTACTTAATGTTTATTGATAGTTACTGATCATAGCTACTTACTGGTCATTGTTACTTACTGGTCATAGATACTTACTGTTCAGAGTTACTTACTCTTCATAGTTAATCATCATATCTTATGATTCCCAACTGGTTCAAACATCCCCGGAACGAAGTGACCGCTGCCGGCCACGTCTCAGAAATGTGTTGTGTTGCAAAGTTGCAAGTCATTGTTTATTAGTGTTCAAAGTTAGTAACTGATCATAGATACAGACTGCTCATAGACACTTACTGGTCATTGTTACTTACTGGTCATAGATACTTACTGTTCAGAGTTACTTAGTGTTCATTCATACTTACTGATCATAGGTACTTGCTGGTCATATTTAATTACTGGTCATAAATACTTACTGTTCAGAGTTACTTACTCTTCATAGTTAATCATCATATCTTATGATTCCCAACTGGTTCAAACATCCCCGGAACGAAGTGACCGCTGCCGGCCACGTCTCAGAAATGTGTTGTGTTGCAAAGTTGCAAGTCATTGTTTATTAGTGTTCAAAGTTAGTAACTGTTCATAGATACAGACTGCTCATAGACACTTACTGGTCATTGTTACTTACTGGTCATAGATACTTACTGTTCAGAGTTACTTAATGTTTATTGATACTTACTGCTCATAGATTCTTACTGGTCATAGTTAATTAGTGGTCATAGATACTTACTGTTCAGTTACTTACTCTTCATAGTTAATCATCATATCTTATGATTCCCAACTGGTTCAAACATCCCCGGAACGAAGTGACCGCTGCCGGCCACGTCTCAGAAATGTGTTGTGTTGCAAAGTTGCAAGTCATTGTTTATTAGTGTTCAAAGTTAGTAACTGATCATAGATACAGACTGCTCATAGACACTTACTGGTCATTGTTACTTACTGGTCATAGATACTTACTGTTCAGAGTTACTTAATGTTCATTGATACTTACTGCTCATAGATTCTTACTGGTCATAGTTAATTAGTGGTCATAGATACTTACTGTTCAGTTACTTACTCTTCATAGTTAATCATCATATCTTATGATTCCCAACTGGTTCAAACATCCCCGGAACGAAGTGACCGCTGCCGGCCACGTCTCAGAAATGTGTTGTGTTGCAAAGTTGCAAGTCATTGTTTATTAGTGTTCAAAGTTAGTAACTGATCATAGATACAGACTGCTCATAGACACTTACTGGTCATTGTTACTTACTGGTCATAGATACTTACTGTTCAGAGTTACTTAATGTTTATTGATACTTACTGCTCATAGATTCTTACTGGTCATAGTTAATTAGTGGTCATAGATACTTACTGTTCAGTTACTTACTCTTCATAGTTAATCATCATATCTTATGATTCCCAACTGGTTCAAACATCCCCGGAACGAAGTGACCGCTGCCGGCCACGTCTCAGAAATGTGTTGTGTTGCAAAGTTGCAAGTCATTGTTTATTAGTGTTCAAAGTTAGTAACTGATCATAGATACAGACTGCTCATAGACACTTACTGGTCATTGTTACTTACTGGTCATAGATACTTACTGTTCAGAGTTACTTAATGTTTATTGATACTTACTGCTCATAGATTCTTACTGGTCATTGTTACTTACTGGTCATAGATACTTACTGTTCAGAGTTACTTACTCTTCATAGTTAATCATCATATCTTATGATTCCCAACTGGTTCAAACATCCCCGGAACGAAGTGACCGCTGCCGGCCACGTCTCAGAAATGTGTTGTGTTGCAAAGTTGCAAGTCATTGTTTATTAGTGTTCAAAGTTAGTAACTGATCATAGATACAGACTGCTCATAGACACTTACTGGTCATTGTTACTTACTGGTCATAGATACTTACTGTTCAGAGTTACTTAGTGTTCATTCATACTTACTGATCATAGGTACTTGCTGGTCATATTTAATTACTGGTCATAGATACTTACTGTTCAGAGTTACTGACTCTTCATAGTTAATCATCATATCTTATGATTCCCAACTGGTTCAAACATCCCCGGAACGAAGTGACCGCTGCCGGCCACGTCTCAGAAATGTGTTGTGTTGCAAAGTTGCAAGTCATTGTTTATTAGTGTTCAAAGTTAGTAACTGTTCATAGATACAGACTGCTCATAGACACTTACTGGTCATTGTTACTTACTGGTCATAGATACTTACTGTTCAGAGTTACTTAATGTTTATTGATACTTACTGCTCATAGATTCTTACTGGTCATAGTTAATTAGTGGTCATAGATACTTACTGTTCAGTTACTTACTCTTCATAGTTAATCATCATATCTTATGATTCCCAACTGGTTCAAACATCCCCGGAACGAAGTGACCGCTGCCGGCCACGTCTCAGAAATGTGTTGTGTTGCAAAGTTGCAAGTCATTGTTTATTAGTGTTCAAAGTTAGTAACTGATCATAGATACAGACTGCTCATAGACACTTACTGGTCATTGTTACTTACTGGTCATAGATACTTACTGTTCAGAGTTACTTAATGTTCATTGATACTTACTGCTCATAGATTCTTACTGGTCATAGTTAATTAGTGGTCATAGATACTTACTGTTCAGTTACTTACTCTTCATAGTTAATCATCATATCTTATGATTCCCAACTGGTTCAAACATCCCCGGAACGAAGTGACCGCTGCCGGCCACGTCTCAGAAATGTGTTGTGTTGCAAAGTTGCAAGTCATTGTTTATTAGTGTTCAAAGTTAGTAACTGTTCATAGATACAGACTGCTCATAGACACTTACTGGTCATTGTTACTTACTGGTCATAGATACTTACTGTTCAGAGTTACTTAATGTTTATTGATACTTACTGCTCATAGATTCTTACTGGTCATAGTTAATTAGTGGTCATAGATACTTACTGTTCAGTTACTTACTCTTCATAGTTAATCATCATATCTTATGATTCCCAACTGGTTCAAACATCCCCGGAACGAAGTGACCGCTGCCGGCCACGTCTCAGAAATGTGTTGTGTTGCAAAGTTGCAAGTCATTGTTTATTAGTGTTCAAAGTTAGTAACTGATCATAGATACAGAGTACCCATAGACACTTACTGTTCAGAGTTACTTACAGATATAAGTTCTGGTCACAGATGCTTCCGGCTCTGAGTTACTTACTGATCATAGTTAGTTACTAGTCACATATCGTATTCCGATTTTCATAAAACTAATAACGAAATTCCATAATAATAATAGATAGCTTTGAATCAAGTTACATAAAAATATGTTAAAAACTGTCAAAGTTAGTGGCTTGATCAACTCGGCTGTTTTCTGCTGATCAAGAATATATATACTTTATATGGTCTTAGATTGCCCTTTCACTGCGTTCCAAACTTTTGACTGAGATTTTAATACCATGCAAGGGTATAAAAATGAGAAGTAGGTTCGTGTTGTTCAAACAAACTTAGTTTTTATGGAAATTTTAACAGGAAACTGCCAAGTTCCAAGCTTCAATAATATCCTTGACTTATTTATCTATTTAATTTTTTTAAAGGTACTATTACTTGTAGAATATAAATCCCTTTATAGAAGGTTTCAGTTGATGTCACAGCATACTTATCATTTTATATTCAACAGTTTTTAGGGAAAATGTAGTGAAAAGAAATACAACTACAACTTCTGCAACTACTTTATGTTGACTTCCAATTTTGTATCCCTAACTTATATATAGCTTAAAAATTATTTTAAAATATTTAAAATTGGTTAAAAGTAATTTTAATAACTAGAACAGAGGTTCTTTTTTAATATGAATTTTTTAAAACATCGTTAAGACATTATAAGTTTGCTTAATATCAAACTAACCTATTTCGCTTTAAGATATGAAAGTTTACGTGTTGTTTTATATAATTTTATTCTTTATTTTTGAAACTTTCCTTAATTATAAAATTTCCTCATCCCGCAGAGCCTCAAAAAGGAGATCGATTGCAGTGAGGATGACAACAGCAGTCACAGTAGACACATGCAACAGCGTTCGGCATCAGCTGGCGGCGGGCTGGGCGGCGACCTTGACTACCGCGCCTCCCACGAATCGGTAAGTTTGAAAGCATTTTACGCTTAAAAATTTAAATCAAATCCTACCCCTCAAAAACTAAAAAAAACCCTGGATAGATCTTTAACCCCAAAAAAATTCGAATCAGAAAAATCCCCTGCCAAAATTAGAACCCTCCCAAAAAATAAACTCCCTTCAGTGAATGCTTTTGCTGCTTCGATAGGTCAGAGAAAAAATAAAAAAGAAATATATATAACGATATATATCGCAGGCCAGATCTCCGTCTCCATTTGATACCGATTTCTGGCTCGATCCGACTCCATGTCTATATGTATCCATATCTCTATCTTAAGTATTGCTCTCTCTCTCTCTCTCTCTGTCTGTTCTTATATATATACATCTATATACCATAATATTTATATCTATATAAAAAAAAACAATATACAAAATCAAAAAAGCAAATGCAAAAAAAGAAAACAAAATCAAAAAAACTCAACATATATTTTTGCTCTTCGTCGTGTTCTTTGTCTATGAATTTTTTAATACATATATATATAACCATACATATATATCTACATATATATATATTATATATATCTTTATCCATCTATATATCTATATGCCCTATAAATATATATTTACCCCAAACCCCCCAAAAGAAGTAAAGTTTTTCATTTTTCTATTCAGTTTGAAAAAATCCCCCAATCCCAAGTAATTTGAGATTTAAAAAACAAAAATATCGAGTGTTAGTTGTTCAGTTTCCTAGCTCTATATAGAAACTATATATATTTTGTTTAATGTGTAGCGCTCTCTCTCTATCTCTATATATCTCTCTCTCTCTCTCTCTGTGTGTATTTATATATCTATCTCTGTCTCTGTACGTCTAGCTATAGCTAACTCTTTTACACACACACACGCTCTCTCTCTCTCTATAACTCTTAATGGCTGTGTAATTTTGTTAGTTAAACCGATCTTTATATATATTTTTATATATATATATATATATATATAAAGATGTGTGTGTGTGTATGTAATCTATGTTGTATTTATCGCATATCTATGTGTGTATATATATAAACCCCTTATCTTTCCTGTAAAAAACAAACACAACACAATACATACATACTCCTGATAGAATTTTCGTATATAGTTTTTTAATTTTTTTGCGGGCCACTTTTCACTTTTCACTTGCCACACACACACACACATTGTTGGCAATTTCCGTTTGCAATTTTCCCCGTCCCTGGAATTTCTAGGTTTTTTTGTTTATTATTTATTTATTTACTGGCCATGTTCTGTTTGGAAGGTCCGTCCTACCGGCTTCTCCTTCTATTTCCTTGTTTCCTTTTCTATTTTAATTTAATTTTTTATTTGCCACCAATGTTGCCATTGTTGCTGTTGTTGATGTTGTTGTTGTTGCAGTTGCATGTTCACGACACTATAATTTTCAATATGGCTGGTAACTGTCACCGAATAAAATACGACTACGGGATGCCCTAGACTTATATCAAATTGGGATAACTAAAGATATTTTTAGGGGGGATAATTCTTTGGCAGTTTAAAAAATGTATAATTAAAATAACTAAATAAATAACAGGGAATTTACTTATTTACAATACCCTTTACAGCCTGGCTGTGAAATTATTTTACCAAGTTTCCCCTAGCTTTTAAATAATTAAGCATACGCAGTGGTGGTCCTGCCTTCATGTAAAACAAATAGCGTATACGCCGCGTGGGCTCTGGTCAAAGCTGGACAGCACACACACATTTATTATTTGAGACTGCACTATGTAAATAAAATAAAAACCAAATCAAATATTCAAATCAAACAATGAGAGAGAAATTGTCGCATGTTGCAACAGGATAAATACGGCAAAAAAAAGGAAAAGGGAAAAGGGAAAACTAAGAAAATTGCTGTGGGAGTGGGACACAATGGCTCGATATTCAATTTATTTATTCCCCAGAGCTCCGGGACACATCCCTCTTCAGCCTGCTGTCCCTTCACTAATTTTGGCTCACATTCTCGGAATGTGTAATGCATACCTCTTTTTCGGGGGAAAGCACAACTGTACCTTTTGCGGCTGTGGAAAAACATTTAGCTTCCGGCAAATATATTTTCACATTACATTTTTTTCCCCCTTCCTCTGTCAACTCTGCTTCTCCTTCTCCTTGGTCGTCTCATTTCTTTTTCGTGCAAAAAAAAAGAAAATCTACGAAAATGAAAGCAGAAGCAAAAAGGAACTCGAGTAGCCACTGTCGTTTTTCTTATGTTTTTTACCCCCACTTCAGTGCAGCAAGCAGCTAGCAAAGAAAATAAAAAAACACACAGTATAACGCACTTTGTTGCAACGCTTGACGAATTTTCATGGGGAAAATTCGGGGCTGGATGGGATGACAGGCTCAGCCAGCGGAAATGTTGTCAAAAACCGAGTCGAGTAAAGAGCCTAAAAGAGTGAAAAAAAAGAATTAAATTGCATGGCTCATAATGTTGACTTTTCCGAGGTTTCAGCAAGAAAGAAAGTTTTCCTTATCGATTTAAAATTATTTAGAGAATTTTTAAGGGAAAATGACACCAAGAAAGAAATTTCTAAATACAAAGTAGAATAAATATTTTAAATATAAATTGAGTATATACAACTAGGTTGATATTATATAAATCTAAAGGTTTATATTTAATCCAAACTCTGATATCATTTCTAAACTAATTCTATACATTTTCCTTTTTTGGTAGCTTCTAAAAAACAAGTTTTTTTTCCAAAAGTCTCTTGGCTGGCCTTATATAACATATGTATATGCATGTCCTCTCTGTCCTCTTCTAACGCATATGCATAAATTCAAATAAAAATTTATCTAAAAAGGAAAGCTTGGTGAAAATCCAAATAACAAAATAAAAATGGAAACCCAAAAAGAAGGCAACAAAAAATAGCAGCAGCAGCCTCGAGTCTGCCTGCAGTCGGCCGTTGACGTTGATGGTATGCTTTCAGTGTGTGTGTGAGGGTATTTTTGTGTGAGAGTATCTGTGTGACGGGGTTGCATAGTACACTGAAGAAAATGATTAAGTATTTTAATACCATTTTTTTGTTGGATTTATTTCTGAACTTTTTCTGCAAGGATAAAAGAAAACCAACCAAAAGGAAGGTATCAGCAGTCGAAGCGATTTAGGCTTGTTTAATGTCCTAGAATTCAGAGTCTATAAAGAGAGTTAGAGTTACCAAATTTGGTATCAATATTCTCTAGAGTTTAAGGCGCTTACATATTTGTAAAATTTTCTCCCAACTAAATCCACTTTTTGAAGAAATAGTACAAAAAACGTCTGTTTAAAGTATATTTTTAATTGAATTTTCATTATATATATTTAAATATATCCAATAATAAAGAAAACATTGTGAAAATATACATTTACAAATTTATTTATATTTTAATTTATGAATTTTATTGAAATTTAATATTAATTCAAATAAACAACACGTTTTAAAGGCATACAAGTACAAATTTATTTAAATATAAAATTCTACGTTTACTTAATTAAAACCTTTTGTTTATTTTAAGTATTTTTTATTCTTAACTGACTCTAAAGACATTTTTGTACTGCCTTTGTTTTTATATATATAAATTATAAATTTTAAAAAATAACTATATAATATTTCAAATTTTTAATAATCATAAATGTATGTTTTTATATATATTTTTAATACCTATATTTGTAGTTATCTATAAATTTCAAAGGCATTTTCTCCCAGTGTCTTGTGCAATTCGTTGACTCTGACTCTGATGTATTCCAAGCCTCTTGTAGGCCTCTCCAAGCCATTGCCGCATAATAAATACTTTTGCTTTTACACTTTCTTTTTTTTCCCTCTTGATTTTTTTCTTATATTTTTTTCTTGATACTTTTTCTTATTTTTTTTCTGCCCGACGCTCCTTTTCTCCGTTCGGCTCCCCCTTTTTTCCCAAAAGGGGGAGAAATGATTATAACGAGAGGAGCGCTGCTCCCTGATGCGCTGCAGTGAAACAAGAACCAAAACAAAACGAAATCAACGCACAAAACCAACAACTTTTGCTTTCTTTTTCTTTTTGCTTTCTTTTCTACACACACACACACACACAGACACACATATACATATGAGTATTTAATTTTGAAACAAATGCGTTCTTTTTATTTATTTTTCGAGCCGCTGCTGCTGCTCTTATGCAATTTTTTCATAGCATACCTTTAGGCTTGGCCCTCTCAACTGTCGCCCTCGTCGCTGCTGCTGCGACTGCTGTGCTTGCATTTTATGAGTCGCATCTCTGTGTCCCTGTCGCCCGTTTCCCCTCTCCATCCCTCTCCCCCCTTTCGGGGTAAAACCCCTGGGAGTCCCCGCATTCCCTCCCTGGAGTACCGCCACCTGCCCTTGTCAGCATTTGCGTTGCTTGTTTGCCCGTCTACGTTGCGTATGCGTAATATGAACGCTTGAATCTGGGTTTTTTTTTTGGGCAGGAAATTGTTGAATATGGAAGGGATTTTTGTTAATATAAATGAAATATTTGGTTATTTATTTTAATGAAATTATAAAAAATATATATCAAGCATTACAACTAATAAAAGGTATTTCAAATATGGAGGAACTATATTAAATGCTTTAAAATTTTGGTAATAATTATTATTTATATCAATTATGGAAAGAATACATATTTTATAAATAATAACTGCTTAAGAATAGTGTGTTGTGGTGAAACTAATTTAAATAATTGAAATTTAAGCAAAGAACAATCATAAAAAAAAATAATACATTTTATATTATATATAACTTTCCTTTATATTGATAAAAAAAATTAAAATATATTTAAAATATTAAATACAAGTAAAACCTTCTAAATACATTTAAATTTTGAGGAACTTACTTAAAAAATCAAAATTTATTTAGGGCAGCCATAAAAAAGCTTTATTTATTAATATAAATATACCGAATATTTGTTATAATACATTTTGTATTTAATTTAAAGTTTTTCGATTCATTCCTCTTTAGTAATAATAATAAACAATGAATTGTTGTTGAGTTTAC